GGACGCGTCACCGTCCCCGGGCAAAATGCCCACCCGAACATATTGTTCGGGTTGTGCGGGGAGTGAAAAACGAATATTAATCGCCCACACGCTAAGGCTAGGTATTAGATGATAAAACAAAATTGGGCGATTGAATATTCTCAGGCACACATGCAGCCCGAATGATTCACAGAGTTCAGCACAATGCAGAGACCCGCACTATCCATATAGCCAACGGACAATACAGCAAATTACATGTGCTGACATGTGAATCTTCAAGATTTAATTCCCCCCCCTCAGGTTTTCAAGAAGGGGTATGAAACGAATTTCACAAGGGATCGCCGTGCTTTGCAAACAAGTCATCAAAGAGGGGGGCAGTACAAATAATCGTTAGAACATAAGGCGTTGACACTTTCTCTCTCTCTCTCTCTCTCTCTCTCTCTTCTTCTTCTTCCCCAGGGCATGGAGGGCAAGTTACGCCCCCCCGGCCTATTGGCCCCCCACATGTTATGGGCTTGTGGGGAGGAGTGAAAGTCTTCGAGTTATATCGGGTACATCGAAAGTTGGCATACTATACTCGACAGTTCTGCTTTTGGGGACGTCTCTCTCTCTCTCTCGCGCGCATAAGGGCAGGTCAGTGCCCCCGGGCTTAGAGCCCACCGGACGGCTTATCGGGAACAGGGGGGTAACGAACGTGCATAGGTCATCAGTTGGGCTCTCTCTCTCTCTCTCTCTCTCTCTACCAGCCATGGGGGTCGGGCAGCGTCCAGGCCCTTCCCCCGCACGCGAACGCGCAGCCGCGGTTCATTGCGCGGATCGTACCCCCATACAGGTATGCTGCATAGGGCTTGGCTGTACACAAGATTCCCCCCGGCCCTCGGCAATGGCTGAGTAGAAGCAAGCGAACAAACTAAGGCTCAGACCAAAAGGACTCTCGCTTGCCGTTCGGGTATACAAAGAGCTCCCCCAAGCAGCAGCATGAAACAAGAGACATACGATATGCGAAAAAGGCACACCATGCGAACAAGAAGCTGGCTTGAGGGAGTGTTCAGAGGTTCCCAGGCAAAAGCGTGCTTCCCCCGCCGTTTTTGGCGAGATCTACGTACTGCCACTGTTGGATCGGAGCGAATTTGGGCCTAGGATTGCCTCTTGAATTCCCCTCCAAAGTCGGAAACAGATGTACAGGTATGTTAAAAAGACACTGGGATTCGCGGGCCAAGTCGGGCCGGTTGTTGTGAGTTTTACCTGAGAAAGCACGACGACATGCTTGCTTAAAGACTTCACGCCAAGGAACTCGCATGCACTCGGATTGTCCGATCAAGTGGAAAATCCCCCTAGGCACCCTCAGAAGTCAGCGCGTACCCCGGGAAACTTTTTCAGCCATGCTCGGAGTTGGCATCAGG